GTCAGGGGGCTTTCCCCGACAAAAAAACCCGGGGTCAGGGGTTTTCCTGACAAACCCACGGTGCTGTGTTCCCCCCGACAAACCCACCGGGGTCAGTGTGTTCCCGACAAACACCACCGGGGTCGTGGTTCCCCTGACAAACACCACCCGGGGTCAGTGTGTTCTTTCCCGACAAACCCACCGGTGTCAGTGGTTCCCACAAAAAACCACCTGTCATGTGTTTTCCCCGACAAACACCACCGGTGCAGTGTGTTCCCCCCACCAAAAAAAACCCCCGGTGTCAGTGTGTTCCCCTGCAAAAAACCAGGGTCATGTGTTCCCCGACAAAAAACCCCCCGGGGTCGTGGTTTTTTCCCCCGACAACACCCCCGGGTCAGTGTGTTTTTCCCCCCAAACAAACTAACTAAGTTTCCCCCATTAAAGGGGCCCCCGATTCCCCCACCATGCCTAGAACCTGACCAACATACCTTAGTTTATACGTCAGTATAAAATCACCTGATAACGGCTCCCCCTTACAGGGTTTAAAACGCTTGCTACCTGAAGACATTGTAAACTTTCATCGGATATTTTTTGGTTTGGCCTTGAATTGTTTGGTTATGACCTTATATAAAACATACCCCCGGCCGGGGTTGAAACCCCGGGTCTAGAGTCTCAAAACTCCAGCCCGTCGCGTTAGCCCCTAACCACCTTGATTTGTTTGTGACCTTTATGTTTGGGGCATGACCTTTTATTTTTTGGTCAGACCTTTTATATTAAAGATCACTCCCTCAGTGCCCCGAAGGGTTTTCCTCATCATTTTTTTCCTTCATGTTCTGTGAGTCACAAACCCCCTCCCTATAAATTAAGCTCGCTTTTTAACCTCTGCCTATAATGTTAGGTCTGTCTCACCTGCTCCTATAAGTCGGTTGTCTCACCTCTGCCTATAAAGTCAGGTCTGCTCATCTGCCCCATAATTCAGGTCTGTCTCACTTGCCATAATGTCAGGTCGTTCACCTGCTGCCCCAAATTCAGGTCGTTCACCTGCCCTAAAGTCAGGGGGTCACCTGCGCCCCATAATGTCAGGTCTGTCCACCGCTGCCTATATGTCAGGGCTGTCTCACCTGCTGCCTATAAGTTAGGGTTTTCTCATCTCACCTGCGTATAAAGTCAGGTCGTTTTCACCTGCTGCCCCAAATGTTTTGGTCTTTCATTCACCTGCGTATAATGTCCCGGTCTGTCTCCCTGCTGCCTTTAAAGAGGTCTGTCTCATCTGCTGCCATAATGTTGGTCTTCTCACCCGCTGTATAAGTCAGGTCTGTCTCACCTGCGCCCCCTAAGCGGTCCCGTTACTGCTGCCTATAATTTAGGGCTGTCTCACCGCGCCTAAATGTTTGGTCTTCTCACCTGCTCCTAATGTCGGTTTGTTCACCTGTGCCTTAAATTTTGGGCGCTCACCTGCTCCTATAATGTCAGGGCGTCTCACCCCTGCCTAAAGTTAGGTCGCTCACCCGCTGCCTATAAAGTCAGGTTTTTTCTCCCGCGCCCATAATGTTAGGTTGTCCCCCACCTCTGCCTATAAGTCAATTTTCTCCCTGCTGCCTTAATGTCGGTTGTCTCACCTCTGCCCATAATGTCAATCTGTCTACCAAGCTTATAATGTCAGGTATCTCACCTGCTGCCTTAATTCGGGCTGTTCCCCACTGCTTTTAATGTCAGGAGTCTCACCCCGCTGCCCATAAATTTAGGTCCCCGTTACCTACGCTTATATTCGGTATGTCTCACCTGCTGCCTATAATTTGGTTTTTTGTCTCACCCACTGCTTATAATGTCGGGATGTCTCACCTGCCTATAAAGTCGGTCTGTCTCACCTAGCCCTTATAATGTCAGGTATGTCTCACTTTCTGCCTATAAGTAAAACTGCCTACCTGCTGCCTAAAATTATTGTCAGGGCTGTCTCCCTGCTTTTATAAGTAAGCTCTGTCTTGGTTAAAACTTGGGAATAAATCCGACCTTTTTTTTAGAAAGCACGTAAGCAAACACTATAACATATTTTTTAGAAAAAGTTTTGGTCCTGGACCTTGAACTTCTGATCAAGGCCCCGGGCCGAAACGTTTTTTAATAAAAATGTTAAGTGTTTGCTTTCGTGCTTTCTAAAACCCAAACCTGTCTACCCGTTGCCTTATGTAAACCCTTTTCCACCTGCTCTTGTAATGTGAGCCCCCCCTCCCCCTGCTGTTTAGAGGTGTGCGCTACTTTCTAACCTGTTACCCCCCAAGGGAAAAACCCCCAGCCACCTCACCCCCTTGCCACAAGAACACCACATTCAAATTCAAATTCAAATTCAAAATTTATTCTCTTTTAAGGTTACAAAGCTGATTTCGAATTTATTGTGTGGTTTACATGTATAAAATAATAATTACAGAGTGTCCACTAGGCACCTACATTTCTGGGATTTCGCCGACTTTGATTTAATTTTAACTTTAAAATATTACAAATTTGAGGGAAGTTGGTATTATGGCTAAGTATAAAATACTATTTGTGAGTTTTTGCAAGTGAATGCTTTTGTTTTGGCCAATCATAGTTTCAATATTGGGACACCCAAATTATAATTTGGGTCATTATTTTAATTAGATTTATATTTTTGTTTTAGGTCAAATTTGGTGGGGTGAGTGTAGGTGTGAACCACAGGGGGTATTGGTAGTTAGTTGGGGGGGGGTTTTTAGGGAATAAGAGTTTTTTTAATGGTAGTTTTGAAAGGTGATGAATGTGAAAATTTTTGAATTTTCAGGG